TCTGTAATATTTATAGTAGATGGCTAAGCTTCGTCTCTTATACTTTGGACATATTGTCAGGAGGGAACAGTTGCTGGAGAAGGATGTCATGCTGGGTAAGATGGAGGGTCAGATAAAAAGAGGAAGACTCCCAACGAGATGGATCAGCCAGGAGGCATCATTGATGGCGTCATGTGTGGCAGCGGTAGTGAGGTTGGCCCAGGATCGGACATTGTTTCATTCTGCTGTGCATGGGGTTGCTATGAGTTGGTTCCGACTCCATGGCACCTGACAACAACAACAATATTTATAGTAAGAAGCCCTCCTGGTGACACAGTGGTTAAGTCACTTGCTAACTGAAAAGTCAGTGGTTCAAATCCACAGGAGAACGATGTGGCAGTCTGCTCCTGTAAAGATTGTGGTGGTTGGTGGTTTATGTGCCATAGAGTCGATTCCGATCCATAGTCACCCTGCATAGGGTTTCTGAGCAGAAAGCCTCATCTTTCTCCTGCAAAATGGCTGGTAGTTTTGAATTGCTAACCTCGAGGTTAGCAGCCCAACTCGTACACAACCACTACACTACCGAAGCTCCTTGGAAACCCATGGCACAGTTCTACTCTACCTGTAGAGTCACTATGATTCAGAATTGACTCAGGGAATCAATTTGTAACCTTTACAGAAGCTGATTACCAGGTCTGTCTTCCATGAAGCGAGCAGATTGCCAGGGCTTTCTTCCGTGAAACAAGCAGATTTCAGGTCTTTCTTCCGTGAAGTGATTGAGTGGGTTTGAGCCACAAACCTTTCATTTAGCAGTCAAGCACTTAACCATTGGAAAAAAATCTAGTAAAGAAAGAGTTGGTTGGGGGATCCTTTCCTTTTGGCTGCCAGGAAAAAAAAGAAAAAAAGTCAAATAGCTTAAATGCCCATTTCCTCATGTTAATCCTGTTCTCCCAATCTGTTCACTACCCTCTCTACTATGTTATTTGACCAAGACCAGAAAAGGGGAAATGAAAGGAAGGGGGCATTTGTGGACTGTGGTAGATATGGAATTGGGGAGAATCCTCGAGTCCCCAAGTCACTGCTAAGTAAACAACTAGGTCTGAGCTCTTCTGCCTGAGTTGTAACCTTGGGTGAATTTACTTCTGCTTTGGACTCACTTAACCTTTAATCTGGGGATCCCCAATCATGTTACTGACATGAATTCCTCACAACAACCTAAGGTAGATGGGAAATATAAACCAAAAGACGGATCTTATGAGTTACTTGAATCCAATGTGGAACAATGCAAATAATATTTAGTTGGGGTTTATTCTCTTGTAACATATTGTCTTCACTTTACTGAAGGGTAACCTGAGCCACAAAGAACAGAAATAGGACAATTTCATATTCACCTTTCAGTTGTTGATGTCACCTATATAAATAATGATTTAATATTACAATACTTTTCTTGCTGAATATACTAATCATGGTCATTTTATGGATGGGGAAACTGAGGCACTGAGTGATTAAAATATATCCCCTTAAACTAGGCCTCATTAACTAGTGCCTAAATGAGAAACTCAAGAACCTTGGTTCTCAGGGCAAATTATTTTTCCTATCAGATTCCGATCCAAGTTTGAAACATTAAATCCACTCAGTTTATGAAAGTAGGTTTTGACTGCTATAAAGTTTGAGTTCTTGATACCAAGAGTAGTGTGAGATCTGAGATGGTAACAAAAATAATAATGATCCTTGAACTTTATAAAGAGTGTTTGCAAGCTCTCCACAGCCACTATTACACTCTGTCCTCATCAAGGACATCAGTAGTACCCCCCTTTTACAGATGAGGAGGCTGGAACACAGAGATACTTAGCAACTTGTCAGAAACTACATAGCAAAAGCAGGACTGGGATTGAAACTCTGGTCTTCTGAATCCAAATTCAGTGAAAACAGACTTTGGATCAAGTTTGAGGCTACCTCCTTTTATGGGGAGACTTGAGACTGAGGGAAGAGGGAAAAAGCCAGTCTTAGCAGCCCATTGGCCCATATGCTAGCAGAGCAGGAAATTATCATCATTAAGCATTTCAAATAATGACACCAAACTGCTCTGGGCACTGTGGGGATCTACCAACTGTGGCTCTAACCTCTAAGGGCCTGCAACCTAAGACAAACACACTAGGAAGAATAAATATGTACATGACATACAGATGGTAGAATAAGAACACTAATCCACTACGAGAGTAGAAAGGAAGCATTTATATCAGATACTTAAGCAGATAAGCTGTGAGATGTGGCATAGGGAGCAGTGAAGAAGCCAGGAAAGAAACACAAACACACATACAGTCCACACAAACACATAATCCAGGAAGGGCTTCTTGGAAGAAGCAAAAATTTAGGTCTTCTCTCTCTCTTCAATTTAAGAAGCAGTGGAATAGCTGCATTGTGGGGGTGGCGGGGGGTAGCAGGGGGTGTAGAGCTGAGGTTGCGAGATTTAGAACAGAAATTAATCCTAGGCATATGAAACAATTCTAGAGATGGGGTGGGGGGGTTGTTTGAGAAGGGGCAGAGCTGGTGGACAAAGAGAGCTTTGAGCAAATGGAAATTCAAGAGAGATTACAACTTGACTCCTAGACTGTGTCTGTTTCCACCCCCATGCTTTAAGAAAGCTCATGCTCTCCCTGATTTCGGGAACAAGAAGAATCTCCACGTTGTGAAAGGCTGTTTCCAGTGGGTGGAGAAGGCAGCACTGCTGTGGTGAAAGACATAGTCGATAGGGACCTTGGGTACACTGGGCAAGAAGTCCCTAGCCATTCCAATCTCCCCAGCTTCTACCACCACAGGAGAGGTTCCCAGCGCACAGCTCATTTATTGAGACCCACTAATTGTGAGGGAATTTTCAGGTTACTTCATCAAACCCAAATTCACCTGTGGAGTTTTAAGCCAGTGATTAGATTCTTGATGTAAAAATTCTGTTAGATGCCACTGAGAGAGCGATATTTCTCAGTATATCAAATGCATCAATTCATACTCCAACCAGGTAGAGTTCTATTTTTCACTGCTAATTATGTTGACTCGAGTCAACCTTTGTGACCCTAATTAGTCAGAGAAACAACAGTACAGAACCACTAGGAATCTGGGGTAAATACAAATATGCACAAGAGTCCCTGTACTCTGATCTCTGTAAAACACAGGATCCTTGGAGCTGACGACAGTGTTGGGTTTAGCCATGGCCATTTCAGACTTACTGAAGCTGCTCATTCCGGCTCACCCTGGTTTCTGACACAATTTCTAAGATTCAAATGGGTGATGTAAGGATGTAAGCATCCTGCGATAATGGTTCTTACGACTATTACTTTTGTCAACATTTATTTATTTGTCATACTTACAATGTGCCTATCATTCTGTTTGAGTCATTCTAAATGTATTAACATTTAATACAACAACTCATTAATACACTATAGGTATTAGGTTCAAATTGCAGGTGAGGAAACGACACAGAGAGGTTAAGTAACTGAACCAAGGTCACACCACTAGTAGATGAAGGCAATAAGATCTAACAATTTTCATCATTTAGCTAAATTTTAAACCCCAGTATTTTAAAAGAACCACCAAGCTTCAAAAGTTGACATGTAAGACATTACTCTGGATGCGATGCCAAAAATACCAAAGATATTTTGACAGTTTCTACACTCAAAGGGGAGTCCTGGTGTGGCACTGTGGGATAATGCACTAGATCTCAAAGTTGGCAGTTCAAGTTCACCAGGCGCTCCAGGGAAACTCTAGACAAGGTGGCTATGAGTCAGAACCTACTCAATGACACTTAACAACAGCAACACTCAAAGGAGTCCTGGTGTGACGTTGTGCAATAAGCATTTGACAGCAGTTCAAACTCACCAGCCGCTCCTCGGAAACCCTATACAGGGTCGCTATGAGTCAGAACCGACGTGACAGCACATAACAACAGTCAAAGAACCTGTGGTATAGTTGCAGGTATTGGTAGTTCCATTCATTCACTTACGTAGAATTTTCTAACTAGAAGACCTTATATCACCAATGCTATATATATATATTTAAACAGGTTATGAAACTTTAGGCCCAGAGGGGACCAATTTATTAGCTAATTTATCAACAACAAGAGAATGGCTGGTAGCATATCCAGAACTGCATACTCTTTCTAACAACAAAGAGTGATGTTTCCATGTACTCTGTACAGACAGGATGGAAAGGTGTTATTAAGGGCAGTGGTCCAACATGAAGTTTGCTCCTTTATCTCAAAGCGTTCCATTCTTCTTCAATCCCATCTGTCTTCTGCACCTCCTCCACACTCATTCTTTATTTCTAATTTGTTTAACCTTTCCTGATCGCTACTCCTCCCTCCTTTCTTCTGCCTCTGAAGTAAAACTAGGCCTGGACACTACTCAGAAATCTGGGGTGGGGGTGGAGGCAAAGTAGGAGTTCTTGAGATCCTTTACCACTAATGAGCCTGAAAAGAAAAAGATGCTTTAGACAATACTTGTAATTGCTTGAGGAGGAACAAAGAGTGGAAGAAAAAGAAAGCGGTATGTCTGAATGACAGAGAAAAGACATCAGCGCAAGTTAAAACTAAATGCAGAGGGATGGGGGGAAAACCGGATTTTACGAGCGGGAAATACCAAAGCAATGGGCTTCAGAGCAAGCGTCACGGCTTCTTTAAAAAGTCTATGAAAGGGCCCTTTCTTAGAGGATAAGGAATTCTCTAAGGAGCCGGCGGGTCCTCTCTTCTCATTGAAGGCTCTCCTCCCTGGGAGGTCGCAGAGCCCTTTTCTGGAGAACCGAGGCCCGCTCTTAGCTTTCCTCCAGGACCTTCCCAGTGTAGTATGCGGGGTCCCTTCCTGCGACAGATGGGACTCCCGGTGCCTGCCGCACGACGCCGCGTCGCACCCCCTCGCAATGCGTCAATCCTCAGGTTCTTGCAGAACTCCCATTCAAAGGCCGAACCCGGCCGCCCGCTGCGAGCGTGCACTACGTGCCCCCGCAGCGTGACGCACGCGCCGCGCCGGGGCGGATGCACGGATGCGCGGCGGGAGGCGCGCACGCAGGAGGCGGAGTGCGGGCGGAAGTCGGCGTCTACGGAAAGGAGAAAGGAAAGGGAGACGCGGCTGGGTGCGGCGCAGCGCGGAGAGGCTGGGAGACCCGCGGGAAGACACCGCCTTCTCCCCCGCCCTCTCTGCTGAGGATGGAAGTGACGAAAGCCGCCGAGGAGGTCACTTCCTGCTGGGGTGGATGAGGAGGAGCCGGAGACGCCGCTGAGGAGACCGGACCGAAGACGGACCGTGCTGGGGAGAGGTGAGTACCGGCCTCGTCGCCGCCTCCAGGCTCCTCTGGGCCGGCCTCGCGGACCTCGGTGGGAACGGTGTCGCAGAGGTCGAGGCCACCCGTGGGCCGCGAGCCCAGCCAACCGGGCCTCACCCAGCGCGGGGGGCGGGGGAAAGGAGGGGGCCCCCTGTCTGAGTGCGACGGAGACCGAGGGCTGCGTTCGTGCCTTGGCTCCGCGGAGCGCCGAGGCCACGGAGTGAGGGCGGCCCGGCCAGGAGGCGAGTAGAGGGAGACAGTGGAAGCAGCGTACGCCGGGCCTGGAGCTGCAGCGGGGTGGGGGTGGGGGCGCAGCTCCAGAATGTGCGTGCCGCCCAGATCGGGGAATGGGCGCGATCCGAGGAAGGGCCTGGGGCCTGGAGTTTGCGGAGTCAGACGAGTGGTCCTTCTTGTACAGTGTGTGCGTTTTTGAAAGGCATAGTGAGGCACCTCCGAGCTCCTGGGGGACCGAGGGCACCTGCGTAGGGGAAATCAGGGAGCCGGGCTGCTAAAGGGAGACCTCTTCGGCAAATCATCGTGGTAGGGGCGTTTGGCCCCCCGAGTCTTGGTGGTTGGCAGAGCATTCCTGTGGCAGGATGAAGGCCCCGCAATCCACCAGCGCAGTCTAGGAGTCAGTCCAGGGCAGCTTCCTGGAGCTGTGGGGAAATCCGTGCTTTTCCTCCTTCATTGTCACTGAGATGTGAGCAGCCTCGAGAGGAAGCTCTGGTGCCTTGTTATTGTATAGACAGACAGAGACGAGTGTGTGTGTGTTTTCATTCTTTTGGGATACTTATCTCCGCTCTCTGGTTTTACAGACTGGGACAGGAAAATAATGTAAAGCATCAAAGGGAATATTAAGAGAAATTTCCAAGAGTAGGAATTTTCCCCCACCCCACTCTGGGGCCACCGAGGCACCTACATTCCCCCAGATTCCTGCTTATGTGGGTGTAGAGGACCTAGCACCCACCTAGGGAACAGTGATTTGTCCCATCCCTACTCACACATAATTGTACCTTTCCCTCCTGTTTGCTAGAGGTGATGGACACAGAGTTGTTTGCTTCTTGGAACAGGAAATTATTGAGGAACTGTAAATTTGGATGAAATAAATTCAGATTGCAGCAAGGCTACCCTCTCTTATGTAGAACAGAAGACCCCCTTCCTCTTATCATAGTCTTGTTAAAGGAAGAGAATGTCTTTTAATGTTTTTTTTCTTCAAAAAGATTTCAGAGTGTGTATGTGAGTACTTCTAGTATAGAGTGACTGTACATATGACATTACGTGTTTACTTCCTGTATCCCAGGGTATTTTTCTGGGGGTGGGGGCAGTTTCTGGCTGGGAGGAGTTTTTCTTCTTCCATCTCACATAATTCTGTAAAATAAATCAAAATCAGATGTTCATTCTTGAGTGGGAATCAGATGGATTTGGATTTTTTTTTTTTTTTTTAAATCCTTTTTTAAACTGGTACATCTGAGTGAACTCAGTCTTGTGTATCTTGGCATCTGCGCCTGTCTAGTAATAGAAGACAAACTGTTTAACTTGTTTTGGCTGCTTTTTTGGACCTGTTTCTGTGTAGCCTTCCTTTTTTACTTTTGAAAGGCTGGTCAAGAGGAAAAAAGCAAATATTAAACACTGTGTTTACAGTTTGTGGTTTAAAGTCAGGTGAGAGATAATTATGGCTTTTGAAGCTGATGACCTGAGGAATATCATTTGATGACTTGGGGATTAGCAGTTTGGAGGTGACATGTTTGAAAGAGAGAGGGTTGCATAAAGAGGGAAAGACAGGGAAAATGAAGGTTGGAAAGACTGTGCCAGAAAACCTTGGGAGGATAATAAATAGCATCTTGAAGTAATTGTTATGGCTTGTGTCTTTCAGCAGGAGGGTGAAAATGAAAGCAGGCTGTAGCATCGTGGAAAAGCCAGAAGCAGGTGGAGGTGAGCAGAAGAAATTAATCATCTTTGATGTGCCTAGAACGTTCCTCAGTTGTTACTGTTCTCTCCACTTGGGCTCTGTTCACAAGTGCTAAACCAAAACTGAACCTCTTGACTGGGTGGTTAGGATGCAACTTGAACAGTCGTAGGCTTGTTTCCTATGGATGTATATTTACTATATCTGATCCCCAGACCCTTGTTCTTTTCTTTTGAGTCGCTTTCCTGTTAAAGCTATGATTCCAATCTTTGGAGTAAGGGGTGCTCAGCTTTATTTTCCTGAAACACTAGTTTCCCTTTCTTGTTTGTTCCCTTGGGGACTTTCATGCCCTTAGAGAAAAGAGGTATGGGGTTCTCTAATACTTGAAAGGATAAGAGAATAGATGGATATCTGGGTGCTGCTGCCCAACCCTTATCAGATTTAACAACTGCCACAAGAATAGGTAACTTCTTTGTGCTTTCCTCACCCTGTTATGGTTAGCCCAAGCTGCCAGAGTGTTTATGGCATGTTTGCAAAGCACTCTAGAGATTCTGAGCAGTGGAATGTGAAGGAAGGGATACTGGTATGCTTTTACCTACCTCCTGACTACCTTGATCGTGCCCTTTTCATATTAAAGGATATCAGTTTCCTGACTGGGCCTATAAAACAGAGTCGTCCCCAGGCTCCCGGCAGATCCAACTGTGGCACTTCATCCTCGAGCTGCTACAGAAGGAGGAATTCCGCCATGTCATTGCCTGGCAGCAGGGAGAGTATGGGGAGTTTGTCATCAAGGACCCAGATGAAGTGGCCCGCCTCTGGGGCCGGAGGAAGTGCAAACCACAGATGAATTATGACAAGCTGAGCCGGGCCCTAAGGTAAGGGAAAGAATTCCCCAATTTCTGGTGTTAACAGATTGGAAGGAGACTAAACAATTTGGTGAGTGTTAGATAAAAAGTGTATCAGGTGATAAGAGACTACACTATGTAAGTGAATAATGTGTATCGTTCAGGTGGGAGTAGCAGAGCTGTTAAATCTGAGTAGCACAGGCACAGAAGAAAAGGCATATCTTTGGTTTATATGTAGGAGGGATCTCCAACATGGTTGGCACTAGATCCTGACAGACAGCCGATTCTGCTCTGTAGTGGGCGAGAGTGTATGGTGAAACATGGATTAGAGCTCATTTGTAATCCAAAGAGTTAGTATAGACCTCCGTGTTGGGAATCTGTTAGAATTTGTTTTGGGGGGGCTCCCTTGGAAGAAATCAGAAACATGGGGAAGAAAGCATGTAGGAGGATGACTAACAGTTATCTCACTGAATGGCATTGACCTAGCTATTCAAGAACTTTATGGCTTGGTTGTCACTCTCCAACATGTCTAGCAACTGCTCACTGCAAGCTTTCTCCATTTCTCTTTTTCCCATGACATTCCTTAAGTTTTATAAGCCGTTAGCCCCCTAGAGGCCAGAAAGCCATTTGTGACCTGTCCTACTAAATATATGTGAGATTAAGTATTCCAGTTACTTTGACGTTCCTTGCCTTGCCTCATTCTTTGTGGCCCTGAATGTAAAATCTGGGCAGCAGCTCTCCTGGAGCCTTTCACATCCCTTTGAGTCTTTGAAGGTGAAGCTGTTATTTTCCGTATCAGGGTATACTATTGTTTGACCTGCCACCATAAAACACTTCTACATTCCTTTGTCTGTGCCTTGAGCTTACTGCCTCAAGACTAACCACATCAGATCCTCCCAAGAGACTTGTTTTGCCCCCACTTGGGCAAAGCAGAAAAGAGAAACTCGGCAGTTAGTGATATACAGTAGTGGGAACAGGAAGGAAATGAACTATAGAGTTGAAATTGTAGAGAGATGGTGAAGACAGGTGATTGGGGCTAGGATAGGTGATCTGGTTCTTAAAATGAAGTTGTTTTTGTAAAATTAACCAAACTTTTTTGAAAATAATTAGATGGGAAAAGCAAGCTCTTAGATATTCCAGTTCTAACAGCTGCAAAAGAATGATCGCGATGTTTGTCAGTAATACTTAGAGCAAGAATTATTGGCCTTAATGTTTACCTACATGTATCAAGAAATGTCAATAACTAGCAGATAAATTGATACATGCTCCTCTTTTCACAGATACTATTACAATAAGAGGATCCTTCATAAAACAAAAGGCAAAAGGTTTACTTATAAATTTAACTTCAACAAGCTGGTGATGCCCAACTACCCATTCATCAACATTCGTTCAAGTGGTAAGATACAAACTCTCTTGGTGGGGAATGAAGCTTGAGTGGGGGAGCAATAATCTTAAAAACCCAAGTCTAAGAGGATTTTGTTGTAGTGTTCCGTGGAGTCACTTCCGACTCAGCAATACTATATACATGGTGAGTTTGAACCACCAACTTGCCAATAGCAGTCCAGTGCTTAGAGCCACACCAGGACTCCAAGAGAATTTTAGAAACAAAATTAATGTTGTCCTTTGGATTGCCTCAGTGTTCTTGCTCAGGTTTCCCACTCATCTCATAAAGGAGAGTAATAAACTAGGCATTATCAAGTCTAGTTCATTTCATTTGGTTCCCTTTTCTGCATATAATTTGTAATTTCTTAAACATTATTAACACTATCCTCTTTAAGAATGATGCTCCATTAGTCTGTGTTTTAACACCCCCACCCAGTGACTCTTTCATACACGGGAGCCTGCTGCTCTACAGACACTTCCGATTTTCTATGAAACTACCAACTCTCCCTTATCAAGTGAATATCATCAAAACCACAGCATCCTTGATCAGAGAAGGGGAGGTTCGCATGTTTGCAGTGAAAAGCAATGTCTTTGATCTGCACCAACAAGTCCTCAGAGCCAAGCTCTGGGGTTACTTGACCTCTCCCTTAAGTACAGCAGGGCTTCCCCTCTAGGCTCTCTGGGTTACAACTTATCGTCACAGCTCCTCACAGAGGTTTTAAGTCAGCTTCTCTTGCTGCAAAAGGCAGTCTCTTAGAAGTTTTTTTTTTCTATTTTAATGCAAATCATACCCTTGCCCAAGAAAATGGATTGTACTTAATTGTTTTCTGGCCAGTCTCTCAATACTCTGTCTTGGTTACAGTGTGTGTTAAGTAAAGAAAGCCAAACCCGATTCTGCAGTAATACAATTTCTCCGAGAAAAACTGGAAGAAACCTGAAAAATTAAAGTGGGGGTGTGGCTGAGAGACTGTAATGCTGAGATCCACTGCAGATATGTAATTACTACACACAACAAGTTAGGGCAGTTTTAGCTTGACTCTGCTATCATTACAGTTCCATCTTTCCTCCTGTAGCCACTCCCTCCTGTCCCTGGGGCATGCATTTGAAAAAAAAAGTATTGGAATGCATCTCTCTAATTACAACCTGTTTTCTTTCCTTGTGCCTGGGGGAGAGGCGTTAGGAAATCAAACCTGTTCTAGCCACTGGAATCCTGTTTCCTCTATTTCTCACTCTCTCCACCTCCCTGTGCACCTGGGAAAGGGACTGGGATTCTAGGTGGATATGCCATAAACACACACAAAAGAGCCTCATACGTCTTGCCTTTGACCTCTTTTTGTCTAGTAAAACCTCGAAGTCCGGCCACGTGGACAACCTGGAATGGCGCGTCCATCCATTAGCCCTTGTGAATAACGATTTTCAAGGACAGTGAAATACGGATCCTCACTAACACTGTTAGGGTGGAAACATAACAGTAGTAGCCAGTGCAGCCTTTTCTGCCTACAGGCTATTGAACCAACAGTGATCCTTAACTAAGCTCGAGATTTTAATCAAAAGGTCAAAGGGAAAACAAAACAGTTTACATTTCTTTTGGGCATACTACTTGGTTGTTTACAAGTAGCTATAAAGAACTTATTTGAGTGCCCTTGAGTCAATTCTGACCCATAGCGACCCTGAATAGGGTTTACAAGGAGCAGTTGGTGAGCTTGAACCACCAATCTTGCAGTTCAAACTACTTTACAGTCTGACACATTAGCCCACAGCACCACACCAGCACTGTATAATTAGCACTGGATTTTGAACCACAAGGTAGACAGTTCAAAACCCACCAGCTGTTCCTTGAAAATCCTATACAGGGTCACTGTGAGTCAGAACCAACTCAACGGCACCCAACAACAACAATAACATTTAACCTCTCATCCCTGTAAAAGTGTATGTCTTGTTACCCACATTTTACAAACTATAGCATGAAGAATGGAGGACAGCAAAATATAAGATCACAATGGGTTGAATATAGTTATCTACTGAACAGTGTCTTTAGCAACAATTCCTGAGAGATTTAGCTTTTGAAATCTAGTTTGTATCAAATAGGACATTCCCCTAAGAAGTTGTTTAGTGTTGTCGAGTTGGTTCTGAACCATAGCGACCCTGTATAGGGTTTCTGAGGAGCAGCTTGTGAGCTTGAACTGCCAACCTTGCAGTTTAAATGGTTTTACAGTCGAGCACATTAACCCACAGTGCCACACCGGGACTCCCCCCTAAGAAGTGGGTGGTGGTTATGTGCCGGAGGGTCAGTTCCGACTCATAGCAACCCTGTACAGGGTTTCTGAGACTTAAGTTTTTACGGGAGCAGAAAGCTTCAGCTTTCTCCTGTAGAACAGCTGGTAGTTTTGAAATGCTGACTTTGTGGTTCGCAACCCCGATTCGTAAACACTACGCTATCAGAGCTCCTTCCACTAAGTTGTTGTTTGGTACCAGCTCATAGTGACCTTATGCACAGCAGAATGAAACACTGCCCAATCCTGGGCCAACCTCACTACTGTTTCCATGCTTGAGTCCATCGATGCCACATGGCCAGTCAATCTCATTGGGGGTCTTCCTCTTTTTCTCTGACCCTCCAACTTACCAAACATGATATCCTTCTCCAGCAACTTGTCCCTCCTGATAGTATGTCCAAAGTATGAGAGACGAAGTTTGGACATCTTGGCCTCCAAGGAGCACTCTGACTGCATTTCTTCCAACACAGATCTGTTGGTTCTTTGGCAGCCTATGGCACTTTCAATATTCTCCTCCAATACCATAACTCAGAGGCATCAATTCTTCTACGGTCTTCCTTATTTACTCTCCAGCTTTTACATGCATATGAAGTTACTGAAAGTACCTTGGCTTGGGTATTGTTGTATAAACTTAGATCCTGGAGACCAGTGGATCTAAACTGATAACAGTTTTAAAACTGAAAGTAATAAGCTGATTGTAACATATCCAAATAGTACAGAAATGTAGAAAGTAAAGTGAATGTTGTTTTCTCTTCCCCTCTAATCCTTCTCACAGTTACCATTTTGGGTAGACTTTTTATCACTAGAAGCTTCCTATGAAATACAAAAAATATTTTTGAATGTTTACTTGTATTTGTGTAAAAAATACTGGAGCGGCATAAATGACGCTAGTCAAAAATGGTTGTCTATCGGAGGGAGGCAAGACATAGCAGTTCAAGGATGGACTTGTGACCTCACACTCTGGCTTCCCACTTCTGTCCCCACCCTTGGTTTGTTTTTGGTGTTTGTTTGTTTGTTTAAAAAGGCTTTAAACCTACAGAAAAATTGGAAAAAATAGAATGGTGATTATCAATATATCTTAATCTAGATTCACTAATGATTAACATTTTAAAAAAATCTTTAGAGATTAAGTTGCAGACTTCTGTAACTTCACCCCTATGCACTTCAGGATGTAGCTCCCAAAAACATTCTCCTCCATAGCCACAATCACACTCAGAAAGTTCACCATTACTCTTAATATTATCTAAGGAGCTCTGGTAGCGTAATGGTTACGAGTCGGGCTGCAAACCTCAAGGTCAGCAGTGAGAAACTACCAGCTGCTCTGTGGGAGAAAGATGAGGCTTTCTGCTCCCATAAAGATTTACAGCCTCGGAAACCCTGTACAGGGCCGCTATGAGTTGGAACCAACTCCACGGCACATAACAACAACATTATCTAGTATATACTACATAATCAAATGATCTGTACCTTTTTAAAATGTTTGTTTTTGAGCCATGACAACTAATAATTACTAAAACATTTCATTTGTTTTAACAAATATTTACATATAATTTGCTGTGTGCCAGTCACTCTTACGGAGTCCTGGTTTGGCACTGTAGCATAAGCACTGGACTACTAACTGCAAGGTTGTGGTTCAGACCCACCAACTGCTCTTTAGAAACCCCATATAGGGTCGCTGTGAGTTGGAAGCAACTCATCAGCACTAAACAACAGCAATCATTATTATAAAACTCCTTTAATCCTTATAACGTGAGGACTGGTTCTGTTAGCCTCATTTTACAGGTAAGAACAGATATATCTGGTAAGTCGTTGTCCAGAGTCTCACAGTTAGCAAGGATTGGGGCCAGGATTTGAACCTAGGCAGAGCCATTATGTTTTCCATTTTCCCAGCGGGTCAAAGACTCCAGTTTGTGATTTAAACAAGCCACAAGATAGAAAGTACCAGAACTGAGGTTCAACCCCAGATTTTCTAACTCTCCACAGATTTCATAGTAGCTATGATGCAAGGTTGGTGGTTCAAGCTCACCAGCTGCTCCTCGGAAACCCTATACAGGGTCGCTATGGGTCGGAACTGACTCGACGACACTTAACAACAACGTATGATGATGATCTTCTTACAAAGTAGTAAAAAAAAATTCCCCTCAAAGAAAATCTTAGATTTGATATATCAGCAAATAAAAATAGGGCTGCTCCAATTAATTAGAGGTAAGAGGACCAGAATGCTACTTTCCCCGCATTGCTCCTACATCTTGCCTGCCTTTGTTCCTCCTAAATACATTTAGGAAGTACTTTGGATTAATTCTCTCTGCAGGTTTACATTATACTTTAGCATGTGTAAAAATTAAAAGTCCTCCAATCCATGAAGAAAAACACAACCACTTTTAACCAAGCATTTCTTAAATTATTTAGGATACAGAATCCCCTACATTATACTTAACTATTCCTTCAGAACACATAGGAGTATTTTGCTTTGCTTGTGAATGGGTGTTCTCTAATACAAAGTCAAAAATCAAAGAGTAGAATTTCGGCCACTATAATGACTGGTAGAAGAAATACTTGGTTTGAGACCTTCTTGGCTCTATTCAAATCATATACAAGGTCATTCATCTATTTTTTCCTAACTTTAAGGTTTAAACAAGTAACACCTCTCTGCCTTTGAAAAAAATGTAAAGTCCTACAGAACATACTTTGGAATACCAGTTTGGGAAATGGTGCTCAGTCACAATGTTACTCAGTCCTGTGTGTGCAGAAAGCTATGGCCTTGCACATATCAGCCAATTCCAGGTTCATATCTGAGGATGACTCCATTATACCAAGAATAGAAAAAAAGGCAGTTAATTAGGAACGGTTCCTAACTACACCATATCATATGCACCTTGTTTTGTTTCTTCACCTAGATCTATCACTTTTACATTTTTGTGTTTTCTATTTTTCCTTTTTTTGTATTTCTACTGTAGCTCTGTCTCAGAGTGTCAGTGGTAGAAGCCACCCACACCCCCCAAGATACCTGAGGCCTCAGATAGCATACCTTTCTTTATCAGAAGGATCTTTTGGTCAAATTTAGAACTTGTAAACCTCTGAAATGACATGCTTACCACAGTGGTGGTTTCCACTTTATTGTTGTTATTATGTGCCATACAGTCAGTTCTGGCCCATAGCAACCCTGAACAGGATTTCCAAGGCTGTAAATCTTTACAGGAGCAGAGAGCCTCATCTTTTTCCCGCGGAGCAGCAGGTAGTTTCGAACTGCTGACCTTGCTGTTTGCAACCCGTTTCGTAACCACTACGCTACCAGATACTACAGCTTAAAATTTTAGCAAGCAAATTTGGGCCAGGGAGTCCATAGGTCCTAGATTTTCTCTCGACTTCTTCAGTGCTTGAAGTTGGTGATTGTGTGTCATATGAGTTGGTTCCAACTCATAACGACTCTGGATACAGTTTCTAACACAGTAAATCTTTATGGGAGCAGAAAACCTTACTTTTCTCCCACAAAGCAGCTGGTAGATTCAAACTGCTGACCTTGTGGTTAACAGCCCAACTCGTAACCCACTACACTGCATGGGCACCTTTGAAAGTAGGATCGTGTTAAGTTCTTTCAAGTCGGTTCTGACTCATAGCACCGTTATATAGGGTTTCTGAGGAGCAGCTGGTGAGGTTTAACCTCTGACCTTACAGTTAAACTGACCTTGAAGTCTACCACATTAACCAGATGAACATATTATATAGCATTTGCTAGAGAAATATAGATTTGAAGAGATTTAAAAATGTCTTCAGTTTGAATCTCTGACATGATGGTATATCAGAAATGATGAAAGGTGTGCTATGAGATCTTACGTTAACAAACATCATGGCTTTGTTTTTAATGTGTTTTTGTTAAAATATGCATGAGATATGTTTGTGTGAGATACACAGTATCTGGATGTTTTCAGTGTATTTTTTTTATAGAAATAGCCAAAAGTATGAAAATGTTAACTGCCATTGAGTCAGGTCCAACTCATAGTGACCCTGTATAGGGTTTCTGAGGCATGACTGTTGAGTTGGAACCGCTAACATTAGGCACCTAATAATTCAGTTCCTGATAATTCCCTGAACTGCTGGGAAAACAGTTATAAACAAGAGAAATTCCCTGTCCTCGTGGCAATTATAGTAGACTGTAGATAAACAAGTAGCTGTGAGCACTGTGAGGACAATAAAGGTGGCCAGTAAATTATGTAAAGGAAGCTGAGCAATAGTTACTAGGAAGATAGAGGATTGTGGGATTCATTCTAGCTGAAATGCTTGTTTCCTGTTTCTCTGAAACATTTTGCAGTTGTTGTTCGTGCCATATGGAGTTGATTCTGGCTCATAGTGACCCCGATTAGGGTTTCTGAGGAGTCGCTGGTGGATTTGAACTGCTGATCTGTGTTTAGTAGACCAGTACTTGAACCTACAGCACCATAATAGGCGCTTACTTAGCTTAAATAAAAATGAGGAGAGAGAATGGCCATACCTCTAATGCAGCCTTTTGTCCTTTTCCACCATCACAGGTGTGGTTCCCCAGAGTGCACCACCAGTGCCAACAGCTTCCTCCCGATTCCATTTCCCACCTCTGGACTCCCATTCGCCAACTAGTGATGTGCAGCCAGGGCGAGGGTTCTCTGCTGGCTCCCTAACTACTTCTGGCCATGAGTCTTTGAGTGATGGCTCTGACAGGAAGGCGGAGCTTTCAGAGCTGGAGGACGGCTCAGCCACTGACTGGCGCCGGGGCGTGGATCTCCTGTCCTCCCGGAATGCTGTTAGTGGAGGAGGGATTGGCCATCAGAAACGCAAGCCTGACATAATGCTTCCTCTGTTCACTAGGCCAGGGATGTACCCTGACCCCCACAGCCCCTTCGCTGTCTCTCCACTTCCTGGCCGTGGCAGTGTCCTTAATGTCCCCATTTCACCAGCCCTCTCTCTGACTCCCACCATCTTCTCCTATAGTCCATCCCCAGGCCTAAGCCCCTTCACCAGCAGCAGCTGCTTCTCCTTCAACCCTGAGGAAATGAAACACTACCTTCATTCACAAGCCTGTTCTGTGTTCAACTACCACCTGAGTCCCAGGACTTTCCCCCGTTACCCAGGGCTCATGGTTCCACCCCTGCAGTGCCAAATGCATCCAGAGGAGTCAACCCAGTTTTCTATCAAGCTGCAGCCCCCACCAGTTGGGCGGAAGAACCGAGAGAGGGTTGAGACCAGTGAAGAGTCAGCGCCTGTCAGTGCTCCCACTGTGGCCCCTATCCCCCCAAGAATTAAGGTGGAGCCTGCTTCTGAAAAGGATCCGGAGAGTCTTAGGCAATCTGCACAAGAGAAGGAGGAGCACACTCAAGAAGAGGGCGCTGTGCTGAGGACGACCATGGAAGCCGAGAAAGGCACCATCTTTGCCCGCCCAGCTGCACCGCCTACCTGGCCCTCTGTACCCACTAGTACCCCAAATGAAGAACCCCTAGAGGTGACTGAAGACAGTGAGGACAGGCCTGGCAAAGAGCCTAGTGCACCTGAGAAGAAAGAAGATGCCCTGATGCCCCCAAAGCTTCGATTGAAGCGGCGCTGGAATGATGACCCAGAAGCACGAGAGCTGAGTAAGAATGGCAAGTTCCTCTGGAATGGGTCAGGACCCCGGGGACTGGCAGCAGCAGCTGCTGATGCCTAGAACTGGAAGTGGATTGGAAGCTGTTTATACTATAATCAAATACATACATGTATTTATGTAGCAAGATTCCAGGGTGGGGGGGTGGGGAGGGAGGGAGGGAGGGAGTTAGACTGGTTTGATCATTCTAGGGGCATAGACTTGTATTTTTATGTTTGGGGGATGGGATGGGGGTCTCTTTTGTTGTAAATTAAGTGGGATATGAACACACTTTTTTCCTGGTGAGTAGGACATGGGGAGGATGTTGGACTGAAAGGAGGAGCCTCCGTTTCCTGTTGAGGCCTACACTTAGTGGAAGAAACTTCTAAAGGGCCAAGATAAACTTTATGGTCCCATGGTAGATCAGGTTCCAGACGGCTTTCTTTTCTATTATTTATATATGGAAAGTCATTTGATGAATTTATTTTTCTCTTTTTGCTCTTGAGAGACATGCATAAAAGGGAAGGGAGCATGGTTAGGAGGTTGAGCAGTGAGAGATCATTGTTAATAAGTATTTTACCTGAAATGTTCCTTTATAATTGTTTCAGGGGAGGAATAAGATAATCTCAGTCTTACTTGGAGGGAGGAGGAGGTGGTTCAGATGTTCTGATTACTTTTTCCTTATCATTGGTTGGCATTTCTTCTTTTCCTTTTTTTAAAAAAAATGTTTTCAGGAAACAAACGTAATGCCAATTTGTGGGGCTTGGAAGGCACAGGAGCTGTCATGTCCCAGCTGCTGTGAGTTTCATGGACTTTTCACCTACTTCACCTATTAAAGAAGCCATGAGGAGTTTTAAACTCTTGTTCAGGGAAGAAAAGAAGAGGGCAGGAGGAAGTAACCCAATGCCTTTAAAAAAAAAAATGACCTTCAATTTTTCCTTTTCCATTGTGGGTTTGGAAAGCCAAACCAATGTATGACTGAGTGAACTACACTCACTGAGGCATGACAACATTGTTGAAAATGTCTTTACATGATGTCTGGTTCTCTTATCTTTTCTTAGGTCAAGCCTTAACTATGAACATACTTTAACATGATACGGGTCTGTCAACATAAACCTGTAAAAGGACACGGACAACTTTTCAGATAACTGAGGAATGTTGAGACATGGTTAGATTTCTAGCTGGTAGTTAGTCATCCCCTCTTGATGTTATTTAGATGGGTAACAGAAAGGCAAGATTATGGGATTTAAAAGGCAGATGGTCCCCGAAAATGCAGAAGCTAGCTGGGTTACAAATAAATGTTTGTTTGTTGAAACCTAAGGGAGACGTGGACAGAAGACAACCAGCTAAGAAAAGACCTTGTATGAATGTTAGAGTTGGTGTCTGTCCTGTTGTGTTGCCATTCTTGCCATTCCCATTTCCCTAGAATGTTCTACATGAGACTCCAGATTACAGACAGTGAGGAATTATTTCTTCATGGGGAATTCCCTTCCAGCAACTTCAAAAGAACAGGAAAGTACTGATCTACATGAAACAAGAGGGGGCCTGGGCTAAGGGCAGAAAGAAAGCAGCAGGCAGCTGTGTATTCGCGGGTGTGCCTGCAGGTGTGTGTACGTGCGGACTGATTGTGGTTCAGATTGGCCCAACAGCAGGGAGAGGGAAAAGGACTGATGGGGGCAACAGGTGAGTATGAGGATGGGGTTTGGAATTGAAGAGATTCCTGACAACTCCACCTTAGCCTCAATAAGCTGTATGCTAGGACATGTTTGAAGGTTGTCTTTTATAATGGTAGGGGACATTGTTTTCTTTTTAGACTGGACTGCATACATGACAGAGGAGCTAAGGAAAGGTTAGCAGGTGAGTGAGTTATTAGATGGCCTAGGATGACGTAGGGCCATCTTGTTATTTCTTAGAAGCGCACCCTCCTTGTTTGATTCAGATTCCATGAGTGACTTGTCTTTCCTCAGAAAAGCGGTTGGGAGAGTGATCCCTAGCAACTCAGGCTTTCAGGCTACCTTTGGTGGTTGTGTTTTTGTCAGTTTCTTTCTCTGCACCTTGACTTACCTCTGAATCAGAAAGTAAACCCAGTCAGGTGGAGGAGGGGTCTCTGCTTGGCATTGCCCTATCTTAACCAGGGAGGCTCGCTGGCCACCCTCTCCTAGAGGGAGAGCCAGCAGGTGTATGAACTCAGGAATAGAAACATGAGGCCTTTAAATTAAAAGAGGGAAAGAAATCCATGATGCATACCTGTAACCCCCTAGAACCCAAGTGCCAGAACTAATTCCTAGATGCTGCTTCTGTTTGAACAAAATGTCACTCATTTTACACTTGGAAGAAAAAAACACTCAAAAATGTTCAACTCCATAGAAAAAAATTGTTTTTGGCTTTAAGAACTTATTTGGTGTTAACTGTTTCCTTTGATTTCCATTCTGCTCATAAATTGTTGGTTGGTTTGCACTGCACACTGGGGTGGTGGGGGCAGGTCCTAAATACAGAGCTGAGCCTGTGCTTACTCAGAAAGTGGACCCGGGAATGTGGTGGTTAAGTTGTTTTCTGGGGAAAGAGGTGGGAGATAGTGTCTCTCCCTGACCCCACTCCCAGCAGCCAGCCTGGCACAAAGCTAGGCCTTACTCTTTTAGAGCATCTCGTCACTATCCAACAGCAGGTGGCAAAGGGGGACAAAACGAGACCAAATTTCTCCCATTTTCCCCAGGTTTTGCTGTGCCAAATAATTAAAACCTTGCGACTAAAAATATAATTTCACTAATCAAGAACTTGTTTATGGAAACAGATTGCTTTTTATAGCTGTTAGTTGGGGTGGGGGAGTAAAAGTCTCTTAAAGGACATCTAACCTTGCTGAGCTCCCCTTTTTTTAAAAAGAGAATAGTGACATAAAAACAATTCACTAAGTCCCTTCACCCCAGCTTTTAAGCTGCATTGCATTAAACCTAACTTGCTGACTAACACAGGGGATTGCTGTACCCAAGACCTCCATGGGCCAAGAAACGTTCAGAAGCATTAAAAAAAAAAAAAAGTTGAAGTCTATCACTTGTCACCAAGTGGGTAGACTTAGTTGGCTGTTTGTCCTTTGTTTTTTTATTTATTCCGTAATTATGTTTGTGCTTTATGTTGTATAAACAGTAATGGAACTTTTTTTGTTGTTTAAAAGAAAAAACCTTTGATCTAATTCTTTCAAGAACTGTTCCATTTTTTAGTTTATTAGGGGGGAGGGGGAGTTACCACTTAATTTTGTTTTGAAATATTTCAGCATTCTTTTTTGAGTTACAAAATTGTGATGCAGGGATTTGTGAGTGAGACATTCACATGTGAAAGATGACTTCATTAGTTATCCACTAAAGCAGAATAAAGTGTGTATATGTACATAAAATGTAAGTAATCTTCATTGTGCAGTGCCTTTTAGATGTTCTACTTTCTATAAAGTCTTCAAATTTTTGCATATATATATTATATATATATGATGTAATGTTATAGAAATATATGTATAATATACATATTTTTTCCAGGGGTATCTGATAGCTCTGTATTTTGTTATGGAAGTTGAAAGAAAAAAGTATTTTACCTCAGAAATTAAAGTTAAATAAAAAAAAACTTTTAAGTAATGTTTGCTGAGTGTTGGTTTTGTTGTTCATCAAAAACCAGTATACACTGAGCAAGGGTGTCACACCGGAGAACTCTCCAAGTCAGTACCCATTCACCCCACCCCGTGTTTTCTTATTTCTTGCACAGCAAGTACTAACATAATAAGGAGGTCTCAGCAGTTTGGAGATTGTCAATTCTGTGGACTAATAGCTGTTGGCAGATTCCTAGGACAGCCGTGAAGCAAAATTGAGGCCAGGCATAAACTGGGAAATTTACTACTTCAAGACTTGTGAGGATTTGCTAAGAGTCTGTAACCAGACACAAAAGACCCATTTGTTTTATGATTTATCCAGAATTGGTAAATCCGTAGAGTCAATTTGGTAAATTAGTGGTTGGGGGAGGAGTGGGTTAATGAGTATGGGTTTCTTTTGGGGGTGATGAGAATGTTCTGGAATAAGTGGTGATAGTGATACAACATTGTGACTATATGGGAGAAAGATAACCCCTTAGATCACCGTATCTTTGTGATAACCTTCTGAGGTAGGTGCTGTGTTTAACTCCACTTTATAGAGGGAAACACTGAGTCACAGAAAAGTGGTATAACCATAAATCCAGCCTCGGTGCCTGCGCTCTTGACCACTCTGCTCTAAGCCCTCAGCAATACTAAACCCTCCTCCTCCACGTCACCTGGCCAGTACATGGTGGTGCCTTCAACATTCCACTCAGATGTCTGCTTCCAGGGACCTCTCTCAGGCAAGTCACGGACACCTCTGTTGTACAGCAGTCTGCCTTTCACAGTGCCACCACACGTCTGTCAGTGCTTCCCCTCTCTGGCTTGTCAGGGTTCTGTTTTCCAGTGCGTAGCCGGTTGCCTGGAGCCTGAGGATGCTTGATGTTTATTGAATAAGTGATTAACAAATATATGAAGGTCATTTGACAATTAGAACTGAGAAGGAAGGGCTAGGGAGTGAGGGTGCAGTTTGTAATGTGAAGACAGGCTGAAGGATGAGTTGGGGGTGCTGCAGTGTGTAGTAACTGGTCAAGTTTCCAGACCTTGACTGCCGAAGGGGGATGAACCTTGTGTATCCAGATTCTAGCATCAGCCTTCCCTCCAGGACCCTGCCCCTGAAACTATACCCTTCCTCTCTATCTTCAGTCTCTCTTCCCCTCTCTGCAACTATCCTCCCCTCTTTCAAACTTGCCACCCCTTTGGGTACACTTTGCTGAGTGGACGAGAAGAAAATGGACTGCAGTCATACCCCTCTCTAAGGAATTCTCTGACCTCCCGTTTTCCAGGACACCTGTAATTCTAGATAGAACCCTACCTATGGGCCTGCCTTGGATGTTTCCCTTCCTGATCCCTTTACTAGGAGTCAACCTCAGTTCCAGCTTCACTCACCTGCCCCCTTGTTACACTATATTAGACATATCCCCTTCTTGACCACTCTGCCCCAGTCACTGTTCCTGATCCCTAGGGAAGGAAGCCACTAGGTACTGACTCTAATCCCAGAGTCATTTTACTGGCTATGAGAACTTGGACAATTTGCAGAAGCTCTGACTGCCTGTTTCCCTGTTTTACAGGATTGTGAGGATTCAATTAGATGATGCACATAAAGCATTTAGTACCCCAAAGCATTTTTTTAATGATGTGACCAAGCTGGACTTTGTGCCTTC